TGTTGTGACCCAACCATAAAATTATTTTCGTTGCTACTTCATAACTGTAATGTTGCTACTGTTATGAATCGTAATGTAAATATCTGATATGTAGGATGGTCTTAGGCGACCCCTGTGAAAGGGTCGTTCGACCGCCAAGGGGGTCGCGACCCACAGGTTGAGAACCGCCGGTCTAACCCACTTAATGGCCTTGGGGCTAGAGAAGGGGTTGGTATGAGATGGGCACAGGGTGAGCACAGGGCACGCAGTGACCTAGGCTCTGGGCCAGGGTGGGGGCAGGTAGGGGCAGGGGCTGCTCACCTGGGGCCCAGATGAAAGTGCTGATGCAGCTGTAGGCTCGTGTTCCCTGGGCAGCCACCCCTACCTCCAGGGTGAGCACAAGGTGCCCCCTGCCGCGAGCCCTGGCCTGGTGGTCAAGTGACTCTGACTCTGGGGGATTAGAGGCTGGAACTCAGCTTCATGAGGAAGCAAAGGCCCAGACGGGGAGGAACACTCAGGGTTGATTACACTGAATGAGATGCAGCCCAGCCTGGGCACAGGCCCATATGGCTGCACAACTGTCAGAGGTGCCATTCACATCGTGTTGGTCCTGGGGGGTCCAAAAGGAGCTGGGGACGTACACATGTGTATGTGTCCTGTGACTCCTGCAGGGTCTGGGCGAGGGGTGCTCTGGGGCCACCTCAGCTGCTCTCTCCAGAATACTGGCTTGGGGATAGAGCCAAGGCAGAAGCCAGGGGAAGCACCATAGAGCCAGCATCCCACCTCCAGCAGAGCCCAGGGTGCTGGCTTCCGGGATGAAGTCCTGGCCAGCTGAGATGGGTGGGGAGGCATAACCCCACCAGCCAAGGAAGCTACCTCTTCCTGTGGCTTCCTTGTGCTGAGGGGCTGACAGAACCCAGAACCCAGATACAGGGCCAGAGCTTGGATCGGAGAACTTAGAATGCAGGGCATTGAGCTACCGGCGGCATTCGGCTACCAGGAGCAAGAGCCCAGGACCTGAAGTCTAAAGCCAGATCTCAGAGTTTCAGGTCTGGAACCTGGAAGCCAGAGCATGGCCTGCCATCTCAGAGCGCGCTGTCCACAGCCTCAGGTTCAGGCCTGGTCTCCAGGGCCAGCAT